CATGAGGTTCACTGTGGAACTGCTGTGACTTACTATTAGCCTTGCTTTTCAGTAGCACTAGAATTACATGCTGACCAGCATGACATAGCAACATTGGCTCAACCAGTGTAAGTTTGTGAGCAGGTTTATATGTATTCTTGACCAATGGTTGACAGGGGGAGTATTCAGGGAAGCCTGTTTGGATTTTTAATATTTTAATATTCATGGAAGCCTGTTTGGATTTTTAATATTTTAATATTCAGGGAGGCCTGTTTGAATTTTTTATATTTTAATATTAAGAGGGAGTTCCCAACTTGTGGGAGCTGTGTGACGTCATCGGGGATTCCTGATAAATAGGTGTCGGGGGCGACAATGGCGGTCTCTCTCTTATTCCCATTGTTCCTCTCGGTCGTCTCTCTCTTTGCTTCCCTGGAGCGATTCAGTCTCTTTTGTTATAGTTTAATTTGTGTTTTTGTGCATTGTTGATTCTGAGTAATCTGGTATTTAGTGTACTTTGTTGTTAGTTTTTTTTTTTCTTTTTTTCCTTTCTTTTTTTTTTCTAATCAGTAACGGGTAGTGGATTTATTTATTAGCTCACGCTTTGGTTATTTAGTAAGCATTGCGAGGGAAGCAGAAGACCGGAAAACTCACCTGTTTCATTTTATCGGGAGTCAGGTAAGATCTGCTGGTGAGAACAGGCTTGGCAGGTGTTTTCTGTTTTTATAGGTGCCCTACCTCTTTACTGTTATTGTAGATATGTATTTGCATTTATTTGTTAATATATTTTTGTAAATATTTTTCTGTGAATTATTGTGTATTGTTTTCTGGTTGTTTAAGTTGTTTCTTTTTTATTGAAGTAAATGAAGGCGTGGATTGTCATCTTGTGCTCTCAGGTTGCTGTTGCTAAGTTTTATTCAGCTGTTGGGTGGTTGTATTTCAGACACACACATCATCCATAAAAAGCAACGATATGAAGAACTGTACTGTACGTAGCACTAAATGCAACATGTTTAAGTGAAAACATTAAAGGGATAGTCCACCCCAAATTTAAAATTGTCCTCATTTACTCACCCTCGTGTCGATCCAGAACTCAATGACTTTATTCTGCGGAACACAAAATATACAATGGAAGTCAATTGAAATCAGGGCAGTTTAGTTACCAACATTTCTCAAAAAGTCTTCTCTTGTGTTCCTCGGGAGAAAGAAAATTATACAGGTTTCGAATGACATGAGTGTGAGTAAATGATGACAGAATTTTCATTTTTGGGTAAACTATCCCTTTAATGCTTCCAGCTTCGATCAGAGCAGGTTTTAAAACAACAGTAACTATATTCACAATTCCCCCTCTGAATTTCTAAATTAGTTTGACTGCTGTGTGAAGAACAGCAATCTGAGCTGCTCTAAAAGTGAACATATTGCATTAGCATGGGTTAGTCAGTTGCCAGGTAGCCTGAGGCAGTGCCATATATCAGTGAGACTGGCTGCTCGGGCTCCTGGCCACTCCAGCGCTCAGCGTTCCCACCACGTCCCTGCTTTGATATTACTTCACACAGCAGCCCGCATCACGGTAATAGATGTAGACTCATTCATTATCTCCATCAATCACAGGCGCTTACACACAGGAGCTGGGTGTAAGAAGAGCCTCTAGTATGAGGACTGAGAATAGCAGACAATTGAATTAGGCTAAGCTCTATATGCGGCCTGTCAAGACAGTAATTCTCCTGTATTAGTGAGGCAGGAGGTTCAAAGGTCAACTCAAGAAGATCTGCGGCTGGTGAAGATGTATGTTTTGGTGGTTTAGCATTAAAGTACTGAGATACTGAAAGAAGTTTAATGTGCTTTTCGGTCAAGGACATTATGAGAGGTTGTTTATGCATGTGAGTGTATTTCACTGTATACTGTACTGTATGCTAATTGATTCCTCCATAGTAAATTGTTTGTTTGTGCCTGCGGCGCTGGACTGCATAAGTGTGATCTGTATGCAAAGTTACATCAGTACTTTATTATTATGCATGAAAAGACTATAATCTCTTGATGGCAACAAAGTAAAGTTCAAACACATTTTTTTCACACCAGGTCAAACTATATTTAATTACTACAACAGAGTCAATAAGAGTTCTTTAAACTGCAAACAATTCCTTGCAGGGCAGTAATGTAATGTAATGTAATGTAATTTAATTTAATTTAATTTAATTTAATTTAAAGTGAATAAATAATGTGAAGTACACATCCGCACCTGCCACCATTAATATTTGTGGTGCTGTTTTATTAATTAATGATCTGAAAAAGTGATCATTAATAATAGTAGTTGAACATCAGCTACATTATTATATTATTGTAACTGTAGTATTGTATACTGTAAAAATAAATTTCAAAGTTGTAAATAAAACAATATTTTTGGAGTACGTTTTACAAGAAAATACTATTTCAGTATTTCTTCTTTAAAAAAAAAAATCACATTTTATTCTGTGTTGCTTGCTGTTTCTTTGTAAAATAAATTTGTGTTAATAAAAAGTATTTTAATATCAACATGGAATATATTATAGTTTTGTTGGTATTGTTTTGTTCCATATGCCTTAAAAGCATATTTTACTGAAAAATGGAAAATCTGTCATCACTCACACCAGTATTTTTTTTTTTCATACTGTGGAAGTCAGTGGCTACTGTCAACTGTTTGGTTACCATCATTCTTCAAAATACATTCTTTTGTATTTAGCAGCTGAAAGAAATTCATACAAGTTTTCTGGGTGAACTATCGCTTTAAAGGAACATGGATGAGGATGTTGTTGAGTTGCTTGTGGTTCAGCCCTGAAATGATCCAGTACACAGTGATAATCGTTCAACTGAGAGGTTAAGGACTTAATCCGTGTATGTATCACTTTAAGAAGAAGTGTTCTCTGTATAATAACTCTGGATTGCCTATGGGATCTATAGAGAGGGTACAGGACAGAAAACCTCCATAAATTCAGTTCAGCTGGGAAATCAACACAGCGCTTCCCACTCATTACGTCTCACACTCAGCCGACAGTTTACCCGTTTGTGTTACGTAGTTTCATCAAAGATAACATCTAATGATCAAAGCCAATGATGCTCGTCTGTGTGAATAATGATGCAGAGGAAACAGTTTGTTTTGAGCTGCATCCGGAGGCTCAGGAAGAGCCCGCTTAATCATACAAATGCTCATTTGATTGTGTGTGTGTGTGTGTATGTGTGTGTGTGTTATCTCATGATACATCCATGGCTCTCTCTAATGCATTGATGTCTGCTACTGTGGAGGATCTCATAAAGAGTTCAATATGCAAATGTTGGGGTGAAATCATAATATTGATCTGATCTCTCCCCATGGAGCTCATAAAGGGTTCTTTGGAGTCTCAGTTAAATGACATGACAGAGTTCTGTCCTTGAAGTCCCATGAAGATATTTTTATTTTGAAGGCTGGTTTGATATTAAACTTGCCAGAGATGAGAAGCGAAAGTCTTTGTCTTCTCCATGACAACCAAAATATGTGGTTTAATTGGATTAGAATTTAGTGAAAAACATCACGTTCCATTACAGTTTTCAAAGCAGAATTGTATTGATATTCCTTAAACATTTTGGTTAGATGCATGATCTCAACCCCAAAGTGTTACTATTCCAAACTAATAATTCAGATAAACAGATCTTGATTTGTAGATAATTTTAGCTTTTGTGCAGTTTTTGTTTGCTGGAAATGTTATACTTTTCAAGAAATTTAAAGTTATAATAAAACATGAAAATAATTTTCTTTAGCAGTATTTTGTCTTTTTCCTGTAAAATATCTAAACATCCTTAAAAGCGGATAAATTTACCGGAGAAGTAAAATGACATAAGACTTTTAGGATTTTTAGGATGTAACTAATAAAATAAATTTTAGTGAGGTTTATGCTTAAACATGTTGCTAATGGAATAAAATTAATTTATTAAAGATATACATATACTTCTTGAATCTTAATAATTTATTCTTATTTTACACAAATTATTATTATTTTATTGGTACACAAGACAGAAATCGTGATTATGAAAATATAGTCAATCCAGAAATATTCCATTATGAGTGTAATCCATACAAATTCACACAATTTACACATTTTATTATCTTTCCTGAAATATGTGAGTGGAAAAATCATGAAATTAAACAAATCCACAAACTCTGATTTCAAATACCCAATTGTTGCTTGATGGACTAGAGATCACTTGAACTTAGGGCTGCACAATTAATCGAATTTCTAATTACAATTATGGATGCCACAATTACGTAATCGTTCAAAGCAGCCCATTGTTTTAGTTTTAGTATAACATTATAATACCATTCATATTTTTACTTTTTTATAATTTAAAGAAAAAACCAATCGGATGTATAGTTGACATTTGAGGCTTAATTACGTTTTTCAGTTAGAGTGTTTTCAGCTTGTTTATTTTCATATAAAAATATGGCATGCAGTTGCATCAAACAATGGTATAAATATCATTCAATGTAAATTGTGATAATCGTAATTAATAATCGCAATTACAGTTTCAAGGGAATAATCGACAATTATAATTTTTGTCATAATCGTGCAGCCCTACTTGAACTGCACTGCTCTTAGAAATTCTGGGTGGTCTGAAACATGATAAATTAATATTTCCCGTGCGTATTTCCAAGGACAACTTCTACCTGTCTGTAAATGCACTTCATATTTGTTTAGTCCTGTTTGTTTACAAGCCTATCTTTTGTCTGCGAGCCTTTAAAGAGTGTGTCAGTAAGAATCCTCTGCTCGTTCTCTCTCACCCCGTGTGTTTGAAGTGCCTTTGCCTTCAACCCTCTCCTTCTGTCTTCATCTCGGATAATAAACACGCACCTACTTCTAATGAGAACCATAAAGACTCTCCCATGTTATTCTTCTCTTGCTCAAATTAGGTAGCAGTACATTTTCTGGCTTCGTGAATGTCCCTGTTGGTGTTCTTGCTAAATTTAATAACCTCAGTTCTGTTTCTCTTTATCCCCGTCAGGTTGGTGTGGAGTTTTGTAACAAAATCATTCCTGTGTGCACTGGAATATATCAGCCGAAAATGAGGAACTGTTGAGCGTGAGTATGATTTCATGTTTTCCCCAAATATTGTGTTGTATTATGAGCTTTGTGGAAATCCGCCTGGTTTACTAAGGCTGTTTGTTCGGTATCATTCAGATTAACCTCATTCTTGACCTGATTGTAATATGCTTAATAATAATTTAATTAGATGGGACATTGTTTAAAGGGGTCATATGATGCTTTTTTAAAGATCATTATTTTGTGTATTTGGTGTAACAGAATATGTTGACATGCTTTAATGTTCAAAAAACACATTCTTTTTAAAATACTGTACGTAGATATGTGGGGTGTGTTAGAACGAGCCGTTTTAGGGGGGCGTGGCAGAGTCTTAACTTTGATAAAGAATATCTCTTTGGTTTTGAGACTTTAGTCTTTGCAACTTCAGGGATCTTATCTATGCACAATCAGCTTGTAACACTCCAAAGAGAAAGGAAAACTTGAAATCGCATCATATGACCCCTTTAATATGCAACTCTCTGTTGGTTAGTGTATTATTGTGGACAACATGAAAGGACTCAAAGTTGTCTGTGAGAAGCCACAGACAGATGGGGTAGTACACACCATACGCTCACATACACTCATCTCTTTTCAAGGAAAATACAGTCTGTTTAATAGATTAAGACAGTAGGATTAGGCTTTCACCTGGTTTTTGGTCGATATTCTGCTGCTCTTAAACATGCTATATATTTTTGAAATCAGTCGTTTATCTTGGTTTTCAGAAAATATTTCCAAACATCCTGAAAAGTTTACTTGTTATGAAAAATTGCATTAAATTAGTTGACTTGAGAATAGATCTTAAGCGAGTGTCCAAAGTCTTTTGGAAATATTTCAAGTTGGTTTCATATGGTTTTTAAAATCTGTAGACCATTTTCAAGAACAATTACTGACTTTCAGGAGTTTCAGTTTAAATCATTCAGTTTAGAAAAATTTTGAGTCTCCCCTCCCTTGCCTCACAGTGCTTTGGTCCAAATGCCTGCTTTCCTCTTTTACATCACCTACACACATGAGTCCGGTGAGAGAGAACAAAGCCAATAGTTGTGGAACTCCAGTAAGTAAGGCTGTCATGGCTATTTTATTCACTTAAACATCGGATGAAGTGATTATTTTCTCTTTAATACAGATTATGCCAATGTATTTTTCGATGAGTCCGCTATGTTAGCAATAATAATGTTACCTGCTTGAGGGAAAGGGTTGCCAGGTTTACATAACAAAACCCACTACTCAAAACTAGCCCAAACTATCCGTGTTTCGAGGGGTCCCCCAGTAAAAATCGCATTCCGGGGGCTAAAATACACGTTATTGGGGTCGCTTCAACCCGCGGACATGAAAAACAACCCGCGGCAACAGTGATAAAGTAGCCCAATTCCACAGGAAAACCACGGACTTGGCAACACTGTGACGGATAGTAATGTCTACAACGGATGCGAGCGCTGTCGCGGCACGACCACAACAGCTTTAAGTTGTCTAATTTGGCACAGTCTCCCTGCTGCACTAATAGTAGTAAGCCATTCCTCTGTGTATACATATCCTTACAAGTACAATTTTAGCTGTATTATTTGTGTCCCCTTCAAAAATTGCTCTTGGAGAAATTTTATGTTTATTGTCCCCCCCTACTGTTAGACGAAATTTACGCCCCTGGTAATAACATATTTTTCTTAGAACGTGAGTGTACCCATCTCAATCAATATTTTTAAAAAAAAGTATAATTTTCAAGTTTTTACAAAAAAAACTAAAACATTTTGAATATTGCATTTAAAAGAAAATTGAATAAGCAGTGAAGATTGAAAAATTTAATATTTTTCTTTGAAAAATTTAACTAAAAGATACTTTTGAGAATTTCATTCTTTTATAAGCCCGCCCCATTCTCATATCAGGACTGTTGTACCTCCCTGACATTTTTGACTTAATGCCTGCCAAAATATTAAAATAAATTTTCATGCAGAAATAAAAAACATGCACATCATCCAAGTCGTTGTATTTACAATATAAATGAGACTTTTTTTAAATATAAATTAGTAAAAATAAGTTAGCCTCATGTCATTGACACATTACAGTTTTGCTCAAGTAAAAATTGCATTTAAGGATGTTTAGATATTTTTACTGGAAATCGACAGCAACCTATTATGACAATCCAGATGTTCACAAATGACCTCCTGTTGTCGTAGCTTTAGGCTAGCAGCTAAACGGAGTGCTTTCAGACAAATAGCAGGTGCAGTTATATTGAGTATGGAGGAACCATGAGCCAGCCTTGGGTTTCTTCCATGGCTGTGTCTCCTGTGAATCAGCAGTGTATGTGGATTAACTGTCCTGCACAGGACTATCATCTGATACTGCACTGGATGAGAGTCATGGCTGTTAAGTTATCTAGGAGTGCTCTGTAGAGGACTAATCTGACACACACTGATAAGGGCTTTTGGAGTGCTGCAGCCCGGCTGCTTTCATTAGGACAGAACTGTTTGCTACACAGGAACACCAGTTAAATGGAGGCAGTGACACGGCCTACGTAATTTAATCACACTCATGTGCTGCATGAATGTTCAATCTACAGCTTCCATAACGCAAGCAAAACAATCATTTCACTGCATAGTGGGTCTGCAGTGTTTGATAAGATGTGATTTGATTTGAAACGCTTTAGTTTTCCATTTTTCGTGTTTTTGAATTCTGTGGGAATAGATGTTGAAATATGGAAGAGCATATGAATCATTCTTTCTGAATTTGTATTTTCAGTGCAGTTGTAACAGCATGTACCCTTTGCTAAAAAAGAACATTGGAAATGAGAGGTTGTTAAACTTACAACCATCAATTGTCTAGATCATCCATATATTTTAATAAACATTCTAATCCCACGCAGCATGACACATAATGTCGGGAGCACTTTGAAATAAATGCTGCATGTAAAAGAAAGCATCATTCAGTCCACAACAATGTCTGAGTATAAGTCGATCTGAAGAGCAGTGCTTGATGACTAATCTAGAATGACGTCCATTGACTGCGAGGTGACAGCCAAGAACCGAGGAAGATATGATGCCACTTTTTTTTTATGTATTAATGTAATTAATTTTTGGTTTCTGAGGGTTCAAATTCTACTAGCTGTGTTCTTGATCTGAAATCAATATTGTTCTTTTCTTTTAGGTCATGACCGTATGAGTTATAAAACCTAGTTAAACAGCTAGAAGCAAGGGCATAGGAATGTTCTCAAAAGTGGGTGGGGCATAGTGTTAACATTTTCAATGTGACTCATGAATATTAATTAGGTGATGTAACATATGCCTAGTAGTCCTAACTGATTTCCAGTAAAAAGATTTCCTGGTAACTATAGTAGGATTTAACTGATAGGCTTATACGTCTCCTAAAGTTAAGTCAAAACAAAACTCTTAAAATGTAGTGATCATTTCCAAAGTATGAACTCTTTTTTTTTTTTTTTAAGATATTGCTTATGTTATAATGATTGCTTTGTTTTTCATCTGGTTAGAAGAATAAAGGTGTGACACTGTAATTTAGTTTAGTAAATTTGGGTGAAATTAAAGTTGTGATGTAACAGAAGAGCATTTCTTCTGTATTGTGACACATTGTGACTGTATTGTGTATTGTTGCGATGTTTTTTATTTCATACTGGCCTTGATAAAATAAATGGCAAAAGTTTCGAAAAGAACATGGGCACGCATGAAGGCAAAAGACTCATTGAGAAAGAAAAGCTGATGCTTCACCTTTACAATAGTTCTTCAACACAGCTTCTGTTTCACATTTTCCAGTATGGTTTTGTAATGTAATTTTTCTAGACTGGGATGTTTGATATGGACTTTGGAGCGATGATAAACTCTCATAAAGGATGAAGAGAAAGGACTCCATAAATAAAGCATCCCTAAGTTCGGTGACAGAGCTGCATTGAAGTTGCTGGCATTTTCTAAAAAAAATAGGCCATGTTTTGCCGTTTATGTGTGCTGTTGCCCATCTTTTGTGAGCGAGAGCGAAACAAGCCGGTTTTGGCACCAGCGAGCATGTCACAGCAGAATGTGAAACACGTGGTGGGAGATGCACTTCCTCAGAATGGTGGCTCTGTGTTGCCTGTGGCAAGAGCTCTCTGCTCATTAAATTTTCAGTTTAATATCTCCACATTTCCCCTCTTTTCCCATGTTCTGCTCCCCATTTAAAACCGCTTTATCTGATGAGAGCATGAGCTAAAAAAGTTGAAGAAAATTAGGGATTTTTTTGTCCAGTTTTTGTTAGTGATACTACCTGAATCACAAAGGAGGTATAATGGAAGTGAGACACATTTGTGACCCTCATTTTTTAAACGCCAGCTATGCACTGGTGGGCATATGATGCTCACGCTGAGTACAGATGACGCATTGTAGTACAAATCCCACTACTACATCAAAATGACAGATGAGTCAATCATTATTGATTCTCCTGAAGAAGAAAATCACTGTATCCCCAAATATAGAAATAACATGTGCTGTCATTGGCTTACATCTTACTTTTTGTGTGTCTCTTTTTAACTTTTAAGTTTTGATTTACATGTTTTTCCTGCAGTTTCATATGCATGCATGTCTTGCATGCACTAGAAGTTGATTAGCCTTTCTAGTTGGATAAGAGAACTTTACGTAATGTAAAGCATGACATTATAAAGTGTACGTAGTGCATGTAACTCCTGGATATGCTGTTGAGACACTTAACGGTTATTATGGATATCTTCATGCTTACATTTCTCTTCAGGCAGTAGTTATTCAACATGCTTTCAGCACAGAATCACTGCAAAACCTAGTCAGCTGCCTCCAGGTAGGCAACTGAATTGTTATCCCAAGATACCTTGCTTTGGACATATTCAAAGGTAGCATTGCATGTACCTTAAACGGTGACGGCAATCTCAGAATGCACTGAGCTGAGCAGTTTAAGATGGTGGATATGAGAGAGAAAACACTGAAACAGTGATTAAAGTTTAAATTAATTAAAAAAAACAAAATTTGTGTGTACGACACTACCATTCCAAAGTTTGA